CTCTCTCTCTCTCTCTCTCTCGGAGTCTTCCCAGGCGAGGCCGGCCGAGGAGACTGGTTACGCTATAACGATTGCAATTACGACGATGACGGAAATCGCTGAAACCGCCTCATTTTTCTTCAATTTAGTCGGCTTACCTCGTAACTACGCCGCGAGCGGGAAAAAACTTACCCCAGTTACATTTTCTTAAATACCATCGCGTCCGAGATGGTCGAAAATTCGTTCTCATTTAAAGATATTGAATAAATCGATAGTCTTATGTATTTGCAGAAGCTAAGTCGACCTAGATTAAACAGGAAATTTCTTTTCTACAATTTTTGCACATTATTACTGATAACTGACACAATTATTTTAATTGCAGAGATTGAAATTTGACTGTTATAAAATATCTATCATTTGTTCAGCCTAATTAATGGAAATTATTAATATTTAAGTTAAATATGTCAACGATTTTAAGATTAATCATAATTAACTTTAAAAAATACGTTTTAAAATATACATTTAAGTTAGTTGCGGATCCATATTGAATTTAACTGGATAAAATAAACAAATCTTTTTCTTTACATTTATTTTTACAGGATATAGAAACATTTGATCTAGAAGATTTCAAATATAATAGCGTGAACATGACGGCCTTTCGCTTGGTGGATCTCGAAGAGCCCAAGGTTGCAGAAGTACTCAAGCAGATGGAACGTTTCCAACCAACGATTGGACATGCCATTCTGAACAAAACGGGAGTCATTCAGGTTGGTGAAAATCTCAAATTTAAATGCAATAAAAAATTAATGCTCTTTTTTACTATCCCACAGTATAGCACATTGCAGAGATTTTTATAAAATCTTATAAAATTTTAAAAACAAGCTCACTCTGAAAGCTTTGCATTTAGGAAATTTAATATTTTCTAATTTAATTATCAAAATCCAATTACCGAACAATTAATAATCAAATGTATATTAGTAGAAATTACAGCAATTCGGTAAAAATTCATTTCAAATTTCATTAAATTGGTAAAAACTCATAACGCATTCACAAAAACTTTGAAATATTTTAAAAAGTTTACATTAAACTTTAAAATCCGCTTTTTTACAACTCTGATAAATAATTTTTGCTTTTAGATTTTATATTGTTATATTAAACTGTGATTAATATCTTTATTCATTTTTCAACGAAGAAAGAAATTCGGTCAAAAAATTTGCTACTAAAATTTGATGCAAATTATATAAAATAAAAAGTTTATTTTAGACAACTTATATAATATCTTGTCAGAATTCAGAATAGAATTTTACGTATAATTTAATGTGTCATGTAATATGAAAAATATTGGAAAATTCAGAAATGAACATATATGGAATATGTATTAAAGTACACATCACATGCATATTCTATAGACAATTATAAATGAAATATTATTCTCAAGTCTGACATAAAATATAAAATATCATCTAAAACCGATTTAGGATTCAATGTTTCCAAAATATTGTTTAAAAGTAATTTTCCTAAAGTCTGTAATAATAATTAATTACACGTGGTTACAAAATGGTAACTATAATGGTGATTACAAAATCTGAATCATAGTACAGCTAGCTGCGAACAAATATAGACTAAAAGCAAAGGGGATTGAAAAGTCGAATAGAGCCCGAACTGGTCAGCAGAGTCTGTCCAGTTCGAGCTTTGTCAGCCCTTCAGTAATTAAGTGAGTTTCGCCAGTGGCCAGTGCCGCAATGTCATTAATTCGGATCAATTGAGCGCACTAAGCACGGTTTTCTCTCAAGGACTTCGAAGATGGTCACCATCTGCTGAAATAGCTAAGTTTACCTCTCAGAATTTATTTCCCAGAATTCTCTCCTCAAAATATTAATGTAAGAAGATCGATATATTTAAATTTATTCCTTCATTATATTTTTCTCACTACACGCTACCTCAGAATCCTATCAAATTTTAAATTCAATAGAATATTTAATAACAAAAGAGAAGCATAATTTCAACAATTGTTAAATTGAACGTTATCAAATTTTAAATTCCCCGAGAGGCAAATTTACGTATAACTGATTTTAAGTAAGATCAGTTTCATATCGAATATGTTTAATATTCTATCTGTGAAAGAACGAACTTTGACTGTAAAATGAAATAGAAACTTTTGACACGGTTGCTAACAAGTATGAATAATAATCGGCCGATCATTAAGCTACGAACAGAATTGAAAACGAGTCTCGTTAAAATTTAATCATAACTTAGCCCGCTCTATATTTGCAGTACTAGCAAAAATTTTGTCCACGTAATAGTTCGGCGGAAGCTGAAGCTAAAGCTTTTCGTGCGATACGCAAAGCACGAACTCTCGTCAAAAGGAAACGTATGTTTCAGGCAGAACCAGCTTTGGTGTACGATAGCGTGCAGGTTTTCGCGCACGGTTTGGCAGCTCTGGACCGTAGTCACGATTTAAGACCAGCAAATCTGTCCTGCGAAAAAGAGGAACCGTGGGACGACGGTTTATCACTCTACAACTATATTAATGCCGTACGTACGTTCTGTGAATTTTCAAGCGAGCCGCTGGGCGGAATAGTGAGACACAACTAATGCTAGTGACGCAAGTTTTCGCATCCAATTATTTCAGAAGACTTTTCATGTTCTCTTCTTTAGAAAAACGTGTAATTAAAAAGTTGGAAATTTTAATGCAGGTCATAATTTGCATTTTAGTCGTTAAGCAAAGCACAACAAAAAATAATTTCTCAAAGAACATAAAAAATCTTTGTGTTTTGAAAAATAATGGAATTTTCGTATCCAATTATTTCAGAAGATCTCTCATGCTCTCTTCTTTAGAAAAGTATATAATAAAGAAAGTTGAAAATTTTTATGCAGATCATAATTTGCATTTCAATCGTGAAGCAGAGCACAACTTAAAATTCAATTTTTTTCAAATACTATAAACAAAGACTTTATGTGTTTATATATTTTTTAAAATAATTGAATTTTATGTTGTGTTCCGCTTAACGACTGAAATATAATTCCTCTCTCGACTGGCTGTAATTAATATCTCTAGTTTAAAAAATATATATTTAAAAAATGAAAATAATGTATATTGTAATTTTATTTTTAAAAAATTTAATCTAATATTATCTGACTTTTATCATAAGTAAAAACACATGACGTTTCTCAAATTTTAATTCTATATTTTTAACGTAATAATGTTAGTCAGCCGTAAATAAAACAAGAAAAATAAACTCGATCGTAATACTACAGTTATGTAGTACAGTTATATGCATAATCTTTTTATTTTCATATTTTTGAAGAGATAAACACGAATAATCCCGAATAATTCTGCGCTATTTAATTTCAATTCAAAAATGTTTAAATAGCAAATGTTTATTGGATACCTACCTTTTCTTTAATCAAATTGCACATCTGTATAATTATTATCAAAATTTAATTAAATATAAAAAAATATTTTTTTTACATTTTTATATTAAATCAACTAGTATATGAATGTATTGCATACCTAAAGTAATTAAATGAAAACAAGCGTTGTAAGCGTTGCAAAGGCAAAGTTGTGTTTTACGCAAGAAAAATATTTATCTTTTCGAAATTGTAGAGAACAATTGAATACCTTGTTTAATTTTATAACTACTTTTATTAACAATGAACCATGAAGATATTGAAGATTTTAAAAAGCCACAATTATGTCAGAAGTAAAAAAGTAATAATATAATATAATTATATTATTTTATCCGCATTAATTGTTAAATAATACCTCATTAATTGTTAAAATGCTAAAATAAATTGATTTGTGACAATTTGTTTCAAATTCAGAGTTTAATTAATTAAATTTTTATTAATTTTTATTGTGTTATAGATCATAATTAACAATGTTAAAGGATCGAGGCTATGTAAGATACATATATACTGACACTTTTGTAATGTGTCATTTCTCTTTCGAAAGCTTCGTTAAATATCTTTTTTTTTCTGTCACAGATTGATTGACTGAACGTGACTTAACGCTTTAGAGTAATTTAAACTCTACTAATACCCAGTACTTAAGGAACTCGTTACTTATATCCGGTTTTCCTGTACGATCTCGTCAAGCTTCTAAAATTTGACGATGATCTTTTTGCTTGCATAAATGTGTGTGTGTATGTGCGCGCGCCATGAAAGTGTATTATAATTTTAAATAATCATAAAATCTAAAAATGCAGAAGAAACGAAATAATTACATAAAACAAATATATAATAATCTCTTTCTCGTAGTTAACGAATATAATTAAGATTATTCCGTCACAAAAGCATTAAAATGCACGTGTCGAAGTCACGCTGCACATCTTTTATTATAGCCTCGTGAAAAGTTACGATTTCAAGATAAAAAGAAACTGTAAAAAATTACTACCCCTTTGACGATCGGGAGCCGTCCTTCGTTGCCCCGCAGAGATTGGTAGCCGTCCGGCGATAAGCCGCAAACATATAGAAGGCAACGGAAGGAGAGCAACGTTGACACATGAATAATTGAACAACGTATTTAGCAAATAGCTACATCCCGGAAGCCTCACCTCGGGGCTTTCTCCACCTTTAGTCACCATGGTCGCGCTTTCCATGCACGGCGACCATCCCGAATGCACGACCGCGTCATACGAGAGACACGTACGTAAACTCGCACGTACGTGCCGCCCATGACTTAGATCCTGCGTGTAGCACCAAGTTTTATTACCCGAGTGCAGCCGACACAGGACTTCCCTATTAGACGCGACAATGACAAATTAAACGGAACTTAAACTTTCGGGACGCGAATATTTTCTTATTAATCGAGGACTCCTTAAATCTTTTCCGGATTATTTAAATCCGCGGATAATAAATTCAAACATTATTATACATAGATGAAAAATCTGAGCAGAGGAGGATCTCTTTATATTTGCGGAGATTTATTTGAAATTCGCAAATTGGGATATTACAAGATACGAGACTTTTAAATCCTTAAACAAGGATCCTTGAACTTTTACGTTGGAGTGTTTGTTGAGGGAAAGCGAAAGTCGCGTTTTTGATCATGATGCAGGGAGGAAAAGCGGTTTAAGGCTACTTTTCGTTCTGCTAAAAGTAAATAAAGACTGCTTGCCGAGTTAAACTGAAACGGAATTAAAGCGTTGTTTTTTCCACCGCATTGTTCATTAAAAAGTCTACTAAAAGCTGTTAAGCCAAGTCGTACTAGCGTAAATATCTTTCTTATGTTGATGTGTAATGTGATCATTTTCTTCATTAAGATTAAAAATAAGTTCATATTTATGAGAAAATTTTTCTGGTTAAAAACATATGTATATACGTCTTTATTATATTGTGACGTTGGCAATCCCAAAGAAACCATTACACAAATTTCTCACTAAAAAAATTTCCGATAAACAACGTGTATAATTAATAATGGTATCTATAGGGAAATTTTCCGAAGAGACCAATATCTCTTGCACAGCTATCTGCTTGTGCAATAATGCATTTCACGTAAACAGCATTAACTCGAGTGCAGAGTACATAGCGTAACCATAACATTTTGATGAGGAGACGCAATAAACTACGAAAGCATTTTCATTAGTATTATTACTGAAGCATTAAACGTATTACATAAAATAATTAAATTAACAATCTTAAATAATCAATTGCAATGAATATTCTTTGAATATTCTTTTACGAGGATTATTAAAATTTTTTTAATCTGATATTATCTCTCGCAGAATATTTTACAAACAATATTTTAATTCGATACGTTAAACATTCGATAGCATCGTTTAAAAAAAAGTTATGATATCAAGGATGAGAAATATAATAACGTACATCGTTCACGTACCACAGAAATTTACAAATCTACATAATGACGGTTTCTTGTAAATTATTCCTATAATAACGTTTTCTCTTACGCGGTATTATAAAGTTTCTCTTTTTTTTTTGCGACGGCAAAGAAAATTGGAAGCTCGTAGGAAAGTCCGGATCCTCGGAATAATCGAAAACGTGTGAAAGAGAAAATGACGTCGATTAACCGTGGCAATTTTTCAAAATTTTATCCGCTACGCGGTCGCGAGTTTTTAGCAATATATCATCTACGATTGTCGATGAGACGGGAATATGATATATGGCAATATATAAACAATTTCTTGATCGTTTCTTCGTTTCACCTTGCAATCTTTTTATTACATCCGGGTGCACTGCGTACATCCGGATCCCGCTTAAGACGTACAACGTTATCAGGCAATAAAGAAATGTTCTAAATAAAGAAAAAAGGAGAAGCGAGAGAGAAAGAGAGAGAAAAAGAAAAACTTCGCAGAAATTATGAAAGTTCCCGATAAGTCTGCTTGCTCTATTCCTTTCACGTAGTATCTTTCGTAAATATCAACGCTCTCTCTCGTCGTCGTGGCTGGTATGATACTTTCCGAAACGTCACTGCACCGTATCGGTTATCGATGTTCCTTTCATGTTAAATCCGAAATAAATAGCGTGCCGCGAAGGGATAGTAGATATACCGCGTGCGCAACTACACTCTCTATCGCGGTCCGCGTATACATTTAAATCCTGCGCGACGGGAAACTGGCAGCTTCCGACGTGACCATATCCTATTAACGGAATAATCGTGTCCGCCGTTTCTGCCGTTCTGTGAATAACTGTGTAAATAAGTGAGCAATCCGGTAAATTATCAATGCGCACGTATTTCTACGTAACGTCAGGCGGATAATGGTCGGCTTAACATTTTAAGCCGATATTACCATCATGGCATTTAAATTAAGCAGGAAAACCGCTTGATAATTTTATTACAAAAAAAAATTGACTGCCAACGTAAATTCTTCATCGCCAAACAGTCTTTTTTCATGTAATATAAACGTTTCATTATATAAACGCCGTTTCTTACGTAAAGTGTGCTAAGCCATATTAATTGCTTTATCATTTATACAAGTTCTACACTTTTAGTTTACTTATAAACTGTAAACGCAAATCTTACACCGCTTAAGCAACCCGAGCTGGGCACTGAAAGCTAAAACTCGCTGCAAAAGCGGCAAGATTAATGCACCCCGGCAAGTATAGGCGGGTTTTTGCGGCTTTATCTCTATCTTGGTACACTTCAGCACTCTAAAGGTGTGGAAACATATGTGTGAGAACTCGGGCAAAGTAAATGCGCGTGAATAAGAAACAACCGATTGGTCCACAGTGTATGAAATAATTAATCAGTCATACACATTATAAAATATGTAAAAATGCGTTTAGTAAAATGTTTAGTAAAACACAGAAATGTATAAACAAGTTTTAAATGAATAAAATTTGTTTATTTAAATAAAAATGCGGGCGCACAGATAAATGTTGCATCAAATACCAAATCATAATGATGCAACTATACTTCAAACAAAAAGTATTATTTATTTCCTACACTAAAATATTACTTCTAAAGAATAATTTTTCCTGTATTGCGTAAAAAATAATATATATTATGTCGTACGTTTTATTCTGTTTCAATTGAAACTACTAACTTTATTATATTAAATTATCAAATAATATTTAAATTATATAATAATTGTCAAGCAAAACTGACAATTTTAATTCAATTTTGTGTGCAAATTTCAATTTAATTTCTACTAAAATTGATTTCGTTTCCCGATTTAAATTCTGTATGAAAATGCTAAATCGATTATTACAAATTATGTAAAACTCTGGACTATTTATTCTAAAAGGCTTAAATGATTTATCAAGATTCAACATTCTGATGATAAAATTAAATTATAGTTACAATTATTAATCGTCAATGTACATGTTTAATATTACGCGCACAAAAATAGGATAGACGCACCTTACACTGCATATCCTTACACTGTAATGTAATAACGATAATACTTGATTTCCAATGTTTTCAATATCAGCTGGATATCAGCGGACATACGAACAGCACAGCTCTGTTACTAAATGCTAGCAAATGGATTTATGTTCATTACCGACGGGAATACAATTCACCATGATGGTATACCTACATGAATGCGAGTAGGCTAACAAATAGTTTCCATAGATATAGAATACTAAATACAACATGAAAATACAGTGACTTTGGCGAAGTATAAGACAGACACAACGATTAAGAATTCTGATTTGCAAAGTATTATATATACATAATGATTAATCCTCTACAAAAAATTTCTCATTTCTCACATTTCTCAGATTGACCTTAATCTTCTCCAAATTCGACATCTGTAGACATTACTTTTATACTTTTTATTAATTTACTACACAAATAAAACAAAAATAAAAAAAATATATTTACAGCGAGCAATCCAAATATTCCATATCAATCTTTCATACACGATAGTTTTATCTTTTTTTTTTTTTAAGCTAAATTCGTACACCGCGACGTGCTTCCGCGAAACATCCTGAGCTACGTATTCTGTTGTGTAAAATGTGCGCGTGTGTAATAGTGTTACACGCGTGATGCATCGACGCACGCATAGCGTAATTAACGTGCGTATTCGTCGAGCGGGAGCACGTCGAGTACCGAAAATACATGCGGCGCCGAGCACCGCCGAATGCCGCGGTTACTTCCGGCGCGCTTACCATTTGTTTCGCGAGCATCGGCGTATTTTTGATTTGAGCGAACCGGCTCGTCGATGTCGGCGCTGACGAGATATCGCCGCGGAGATTTATCGATCGGCGCACTATCCGCAATGCCGCTGCTGACAGCCCGACAAAAATCCTGACCGTGAAATCACTGCTAAAAATCTCGCGCCGACTAGCCGGGTTGGATGGAAGACAATTTCTTTTTTCGAAATAATTTAACAATGCGTTTCGTAGAATCATAAAAGTTGTAAAAATACGTCGGGGAGATAACTGCGCGAGGCGCGGACGAGCAGAGACCATTGTACACTTCTATGTGCCGGCCTTTGTCAAATCGTATTAGTGCAAGTGCGTCAATCCATAAACTTTGTAACCCGATTTTAAATGCATTAAAATCTGAGATAATTTAAATAACGTAATGACTTTTCACACAATCAGAGTAATTTTTTGGAATCGTTAATAACATATTTTAAAGAAATATTTATTAAAATTTTTTAATAATCTTTTATCTATATGTAAGTTGCTTCATTATACATTCAATATTGGAATATTTTCAATAATGGTCTTTTATATTTGTGTGAGGTCTTTTTCTGAAAAATATAAAAACCCATGTGCAACAACTTTTTGACAACTGAATTATTTTCCTTTAGATTGAAATTTACTCTTATTGTGCAGTGGATTGAACTATATGTGAACGAAATATTCGCATAAAAATCCGTTCGAATTGAACTGGATTCTCTCAATGTAGATGAGATATGGATTATTTTATCTTTTTTGCGTAATAAACTCACTCACATTCCGCACAGCTATCATCCCCCCGATTAAATTCAGATTACAAATGGAATAAAGCACGAAATGCATCTATAAAAAGTGATATGACCATGCATATATCAGACTATAGTATTTGAAACATATGTGCGTTAAAAAGTTATGTGACAAAAAACGATATTTTGTTGAATAAAATCGTGAACCACATTGAGAAGGCTTAATTATTCAATCAAGAGGATTATCATCAACCCTTTTTTCTATTGCTGGATATGAGCCTCTCTTAATCTATCAAAATTAGAAAAATTTTTTTTCCCTATCACGCTGGTTAGTGGGTTGATAGAGGAGTCAATTTATTTTGCTGATCCAGATATCGTGATTTTCTCAACGTATTTCTGTGATGTGCGCTATTTCATATTTACACACAGATATACGGAACCTATAACAGTTTTAACGCCGGTTCTGAACGGCCTAATTGGAGAGGTTTCCATGAAAAGATATACTCTCAGTGATTTGCCATTACCTTCCGATCGAATAGAAAATCCGATGTTTCTGATCTTCGGGCATCGAAAGCAAACGCACAACTCTCTGCGCCACGACCGTCACGATCAAGAGAATATTTTACGTAAAAATTCGAAATTTTTAGATAGAATTTTTCAGATTTATCTTATTTTACTGGTAGAAATAAGTAGTCGTGTTTAAAAAGAAGAACATTTTGGGTAAATATTCCATCAACTCCGTAAACAAACATACACTAAAAAGGAAGAGATAATAAATCAGGTAAACTATGCGCAAACCGCCGTTGGTCCACAAATGGTAATTAATGCGAAAAATTTCACCGACTGTATGCATCCGGAAATGTAAGCCGTCAGCTATGAATCGTGTGTACGTGTATGCGTGTCCGTGAACTACTGGACACGGAGGAAAAATAAATTTAACGAGAATCAGACGTGTACATGATTTAACGAACGGTAAATCCGGCTGTGTTCGTTACTAAACAAGTTATGAGAGTATAATGTTGCGTACAAAAATTTTATTATTTTTCGATCTTCGCGTTTTATCTAATGTCAGTTTTATCTACTGTTTGAATGGCGATATCCAGTCTCGCAACGTTTCGCATATTAGATACGACTTCGAGATACTGTTACATATCACTTTATGGAGGGAGAGACCGCTATTTACATAAAAATGCAATTTTCCGGCAGCCCACCTATATTTAAATAGTAGAGATATAAAGCTTCAAAGAATTATTATATGGCTAACTACACACATTTTCATGAAAACAAAGAGTTTACCGTGCACTACATTAACTACGTTCTTGCTTTATAGAAGCTTGAATTTTACTCGCGCAACATCAATATAATTAAATGTAGCAAAATTTGTAATACGTAAAATGAAGGACATGTTTCTCCATTTATTTATTATATAATTATCGCAAA